CTCAACGCAACTCAGTAGCTGATGTTGGTTCAGATTTCAGGAGTCTGACTCCAGGTGGTTTACTTTAGGCATACTTAAGCACAGCACAATTTGATGAAAACTATTCTGGTGATAATTAACTCAATCCCATGTACACAACAACGCATACATACATCTCCTTGAAGAACAAAGTAAGCTAAACACTTATCAGACACGACCATATTGAAACTCTCTGTAAAGTCCATAAAGATAGGTTTTACAGATCGATTGAAAAATGAATTTGTGGTAAGGATCTGGAGAGGGTCCGGTGCTATAAAAGTCTCTAGCTACACAATAGAACAAAGGTCCCCAAGGTTAGGAAGTACATCTGCTCCAGCCTTCTGGAAAACACTACTGCATTCCTTCCCTTGAAGGAACAACCCTGTGTGCTAACATTCCAGGTTCCCCTAGTGCTTATCTGTGAGCACAAAGACCTCCATGCCTCCTACAAACCACAACGGGTTGGAGGCCTCTCAAGAAACTATCTCTTGGAGACAGGCATGGTGGATCACATAGATTACATACCTGCAATCCTAGCACTTGAGAAGCTGAGGCAGGGGGGTTGCAGCAAGTTTGAAGCCAGCCTGGGTTGTTTAACGAGTACCAGGCCAGCCATGGCTACTTAGAAAGACCTTGTCTCAAAGACAAAAAAAAATATGTTCTATAAATTCTCCAAAGACATTTTGTTTTTATTATTGTTTTAAAAAAGAGATGGAATTCAAGTGTTGTTCCATTCTACTCCAATTTGAACATGACTAAAAGGCCCTTAGAGCTTGCACTAATCCTCAATCAATTTAAACTTTAGTTATCTGAAGTCTTCAGTTACCTACACACTTGCTGAGAGATGAAAAGTTACAATGCTAGAAGCTATGCTCTGCCAGCAGGCTGTGAGCATCACTCACACTGTGGATGGTGTGGAATGGTCATTGGCCATGTTTGACCTAGAGATCTACAAATCCCTACTTAAAGAGCACTGTGAGTACACAGCCCCAGTCCACCTGTGTTTATGAAGTCATCACACAAACTATATTAGCATAAGAAAAATGTCCTAAAAATGTCTTGGCACGAAATAGCCAAGAGTCATTTAGATGGTATCGTGATCATGAGGGACACATCTTGGCTGTCATACTTTAAATCCTTGGTTCAATATACTGTGATATAGAAGCTGTAACGACATGGATCGGAATGTAACGAAATGTCCCCAGTGGCCACGTGCTGAAGGCTGAGATACCAACTGATGGCAACACTGGGGGGAGATGGTAGAAACTTTAGGAGGAGGGGCTGGTTGAGGGAAGCTGGTGTCCGGAGGTGCATCCTGGAAGGGTGCGCCTTGTCTCTGCCTGTCCCTCCATCTGCTTTCTGGCTGTTGTAAGGTGAGCAGCCTTGAACCTCATGTGCTCTGCTTTATTATAGGCCCAGAATCAGCAAAATAAATTTACGCCATGGACAGAAGCCTCTGAAACTGTGAGGCAAGTTACGCCTCTCTTCCTTCACATTGATTTTCTCGGGTATTTTGTCACAATAATGAAGAGCTAACAAAACAGCGCTAGATTCACTCGGTTTTGAGACTTTTTTAATGGGAGTTTTATCAGGGAAAAAAGGGGGAGGGACTGCCTTAGTCCATACAACATATAAATTTTCAAGAAAATATATGCATTTAGGTTCTAGAAGTCCATGCCCTCCCCTTATGCAAAATATAATAATTCTATCCCAGTTACCTCAATTCATTCCTGAGTCAACTCTAAGAACTCAAGTCCCAAGCTGTATGTAAGTAAGTAAGTCTTACCTAAGTAAGACTGGGTGAGGCTCAAGGGAAGATTTCATGTGAAACAAGATACCTCTTAATGTGTGACTAAGTGAAACCAAGCAAGTTACACACAGTAAGACAGTGGTGGGCATGACCCACCTTGCCTGTTATACTCAATAAGACAGTGGCGGGCATGATATACCTTGCCTGTGATACACAGTAAGACAGTGGCGGGCATGACCCACCTTGCCTGTGATACACAGTAAGACAGTGGCAGGCATGATATACCTTGCCTGTGATACTGTTGCTGCAAAGGCTGTGTGGTGGTTTGACAGAAAACAGACCACAAAGGAAGTGGCACTATTAGTAGGCATGGTTTTGTTGTAGTAGGTGTGGCCTTGTTGGAATGTGGCAGACCAGCCCCCACATTTATTTACCCCCAGGGACTCTTGAGGAATGAAGCATAAGAGACTTAGTTAGAAATAGAGGGGAGAGAAATGCAGGACTCGAGTGGGCCTGGATCCTTATCCATTGGCCCTGAACTTATTCCAAAGGTCTATTTGTAACAATGCCAACGGATGGAGCAAAAGACCTCCCCCTTGCTAGTTACAGTCAAGTGTAGACCCTTACCAACATCTGGTATCCAGGCCCATGGTCCAATCAACCTCTTATGCAGTCCTACTGGGTACAGCCACGAGGAAACCTAGTGGGCTACAACCTTGGAGGAAGTGTGTCACTGTAGGGGTGGGCTTTGAGGTCTCCTTTGCTCAAGCTACACTCAGTGTGGTACACAGTTCACTTCCTGTTGCCTGCAGATCAAGATGTAGAACCCTCAGCTCCTTTTCCAGCACCATGTCTGCCTGCATGCTGCTGTGTTTCCCACCAGGAAGACAATGGACTAGACCCCTGAAACTGTAAGCCACCCCATTAAATGTTTTCCTTTATAAGAGTTGCCACGGTCATGGTGTCTCTTCACAGCAATAGGAACCCTAACTGAGACAGGCTGACATGCAGGATCACTTTCACTCAGGAGTTCAAAGCCAATCTGGGGAAGACAGACAGCTCCTGTCTCAAAACAAAGCCAAACGAAACTCAGTGGCAGAGCACTGTAGGATGCACACATCTGCCCCAAAAGGGACAAATAGGAAAGAGAGATGGAAAAGATAGAGCGAGTCCAAAACTTCATAGGGTAAACCATTGAGCCTTAAAGCTTGATAGTGATCCTCTTCGGCTTGATGCCCTGGCCTCCAGGCCCACAGGAGTACCAGCATCAACTTCACAGCTTTCCAGAATGGCTCTGCAGCAGCTCCCTGCTGAGACATTGCCGCTCTATAGGTGCAGGTACTGTACCTGAAGTTCTCCTCAGTGCCCCACATCTCCAAGTGGCCTCCCCCTTGGTGAAGACACATATGAACCTCAAGGCAGGGAAGGGTATCTATTACTTGGGGTTTTCTGAAGGAACAGAACTGATTGAATTAATGAAAAAAATGAATGAATAGACATGCTATATATATTTATTTATATTTACATAATAAATATATAATGTATTATATATATATATAGTGTATGTATATTGGCTAATTCTATGTCAATTTGACACAGCTAAAGTCATCTGAGAAGGAACCTCAATTAAGTAAATTGTCTTAGCTAGTGTTTCCATTGCTGTGAAGAGACACCATGACTGTGGCTACTTTTATAAGGAAAATATTTCATTGGAGTGACTCACTTGCAGTTTCAGAGGTTCAGTCCATTATCATCATGTCGAGGAGCATGGCAGCGTGCAGGCAGACATGGTTCTGGAGGAGTAGCTGAGAGTCCTACACCTTGCAGACAACAGGAAGTCAACTGAGACACTCAGTGGTATCCTGAGCATAGGAAACCTCAAAGCCTACAGTGACTCACTTCCTCCAGCAAGGCCGTATCTATTCCAACAAAGCCACACCTCCTAATAGTGCCACTCCCTATGAGATTATGGTGGCCAATTACCTTCAAATTACCACAAAAAAAATGCTTCATTAGAATGAACTGTATACTAGCTTGTAGGGTATTTTCTTAATTAGTGATTGATGTGGAAGGGGTCAGCCCATTGTGGGTGGGGACATCCCTGGGCTGGTCCTGGGGTCTATAAGAAAACAGGCTGAACAAGCCATGGGGAGCAAGTCAGTGAGCAGCACCCCTCCATGGCCTCTGCATCAGCTCCTGCCTCTAGGACCCCTTTGAGTTCCTGCCCTGACTGCCTTCAAGGATGAACCATAATATGTAAGCATTAGCAAAATATACCCTTCCCTCCCCTGATCGTTTTTTGGTCATGATGTTTCATTACAGAGATAGTAACCCTAACTAAGACAAAATTAAAAGGGGATTTATTAGACTGGCTTACAGGATATGGTCTATGTAGCTCAATAATGGCTGCCTTACAATGGAAAAGCCAAGAATTCAGTAGTTTTTCAGTCCACAAGGCTAGGTAGCTCAGCAGTGCCAGTCTGGTAGTGCAGTCCTGGGGGAGTCCAGCTGGTCTTTGATCTACATCGGAGTTCTGAAGAACGTGGCTGCAACAGGATAGACGAACTTGCCGGTGAGAGTGGGGGCATGCATGTAAAAAGCAAAGCTTCTATCTTCCATGTCCTCTTCTGCAGGCTGCTACCAGAAGGTGTGGCCCAGGTCTTCCTGCTTCGAATAATCTTAACAAGAAAGTCCCTCACAGAAGGGCCCAGTAGGTTTGGTTTTAGTTGATTCCAGATACAGTCAAGTTGACAACTGAGATCAGTCATCTCAGAGGGGTTTCTGCATGCTGATTCTGATCTGCAAAAACACCAGTAGCCCTAAACACGACTAATTAAATTCAGTGTCATCTTCCCATTGTCTTCACTTGTTCGTAGTCAAAAGACTGAGAAGAAATCTCCTACTGTCTTCAGAGAGGGAGGGTCCACACCAACCTTTAACTGGGACATACGTAAATGTGTTTGCAACATGAGAAGGCAGAGAATCTCACAAACCTTCACGTTCTGTTTGCATCGTTTCCCTCTTCCTGGATTTAATGATAAGCATTTGAGAGGAGCCAACCCACATGTCCAATATTTTGCGATCTCTTTAGCTAAGTATCACTTTAATGGCCCACAAGTTCTACTTTCAGTGAGATCCTAGAACATGAGGCAAAGTGTGATGGCTAGTCTTGGTTGTCAACTTAAAGGCACACTGTTGGGCGTACCTTTGAGGGATTTTTTTTTTCCATCAGGTCTTTTGAAGTGGGAAAACATGGCCTAATTTAGGCAGCATCTTCCAGTGGCAGCCCAGATGAAAGGAGGTTGGGGAAAAGAAGATTTGCGTTTTGCCTGTTTACCTTGTCTCCCACTGTCAAGTTCATCTACCCTGCTGCCATTGACATTAGAACCTAGCTTCTTGGGGCTCCCAACCTGGAAAACCTGTTGTTCTCCAGGAATCCTCCAGGCCTTCAGCATCAGGTTGTAACCACTGAGGCACCCAACCTCAAGGGCCAAACAGCTACCCAGTTCTCAGCTTCTCCAGTATAAAGACAGCCATCATGAGACTACCAAGAACACATCACATGAAACAATCTAATAAATCTTCATTTAATATCTATTTATCCTGTGGATATTTTTTCTAGAGAAGCCTAATACACCACATCAGACAGATTAGTTACTCTTTGTAGGGGAAGGAAGGAGAGGGCTGAGGATCCAGGATCCAGCCCATAACCTTGTGCATGTTAAATAAGCACTATAGTATTAAATGACAAACCCAGCTGGATTTGACAATTTAATACAAGGATTACTTTTGCTTCATTTTGGACTGAGATCTTACCTGGATGCCTTTTAATGTCTAGATTTCTACCTTTCTCCTCACAATTTCTTCAAATATGGAACACCCTATCTTTCCCCCCAAACCCATGCTTCCCTAGATGTTATGCTACCCTCATCAGAGCCCTCAAGTAGTGGAGTGACTCAATCCTGTTCTTGAATCTCTTGAACTGTGGTCCCAGATAAACCTTTTCTCTTTATAAGTTAATTCTCTCAGGTGTTTTGTTACAGTACATGAAACTGAATAATAAAGGTGCAAATCCCATTTATGAGGACCCTGCCTTTGGTAGTCTAATCATCACTTGTGATAGTTAATCCTTCTTTTTTCTTTCTTTCTTTTTCTTTTTTCTTTTTTCTTTTCTTTTTCTTTTTTTTTTTTTTTTTGGAGACAGTCTCAAGAGGCAGACAACTCTTGAACTCCTTGAACACTTGGGTGTCTCACTTCCCATTTTGCTAGAATTATAGACCCACATCTGTAGATACACCCCCTTGTCCAACTGGTGCTGAGGATCAAACTCAGGGTCTTGTGTATGTGAGACAAGCACAGTATCAACTGAGCTACATCACCATCCAATGGGGCTAATCTTGACGTCAACTTGATGGCTTTTAGAGTCAACCAAGAGATAGACTTCTGAGTATCTGTGAAGTCATTTCTATAAAGGCTTAACTTCAGGGTGGCACACCCTCCCTCAGAGTGGATAGCTCCTTCCAGTGGTCAGCTGGGGCAAAAAGAAGTCCATGGCAAAGGCAATGCTGCCTGGCTAACTTACACCCTTGCCGGTGGGTGTTGCCATGATCTGCCGCCATCAGACCCAAGCTTCTTTGGCCTTCAGGAATCTTCCAGGCCTTCAGCACAAATTGGAGCTATTAAAGAATCATGCTCCATGGGCTGAGCAGCTTCCATGTTCTCAGCCTTTCCATAATTAGGGTAAATTCCTCTGTCTATAAATGGAGGGAGTGGGCCCAGCATATTCACTCAGCAGTAAGTACTTAGACATACACACAATGTTTCTAGATCATGAAATTCAAGTGACTGACTGTCTTGGTTACTATTCTATTGCTGAGAAGAGACACCATGACCAAGGGTGCCTATAAAAGAAAGCATTTAATTGGGGGCCTTTTACAGTCTCAGAGGGTTAGTCTGTGACCATCATAGTGAGGAGCAGGAACTGGACCAGTAACTGAAGGCTTACATCCTAATTCACAAGCAAGAGAGAGAGAGAGAGAGACAGACAGACAGACAGACAGACAGACAGAGAGATTTGGCATGGTGTGGGTTTTTGAAAGCTCAAAGCCTACCCCCCCCAGAGACACACCAGCTCCAACGGGGCCATACCTCCTGATCCTTCTTAAATAGTTCCACCTGCTAGTGACCAAACATTCAAAGATAGGAGCCTATACAGGCCATTGTCACTCAAACGGATGCTCACTATATTCTAAACATTCTATCTGTAACTTTCAAGTGTATGAGTTTGCAGTTTCATGGGTAACTACCTTGGGGGTTAATGTTTTTGATGTTTGAACATAGAATTTCCTCAGCCTCACCTCCATCTCTGATAGTCTTTCTTCTACTTGGTCTGATCTACTAGTGATGTTTCCCACAGTTTCTTTTCTTTTTTTTTCTTTTTTCTTTTTTTTTTAACTAATCGATCCATTTTGGTCATTCCCAGCATTTAGTTTAGTTTTCCTTGCCGAACTTTCTTCCATTTCTCCAGCCTCTTTGTCAGTATTACTGTTTTTCTCATCCATTTTTGTTGACTGGTCTCTGTGTTGCTGCATTTTTGTCTGGGTCATGAGCTGACTTCTTTACTTCATTCACTCAGTTGTGTTTATCCTCTTTGAAGTCCCTGATCATTTTTCCTAGTGAATTTCCCAGATCTTTAGCTGATGTTTTACCCGTCTCAATGGGTTTGAATTCTGAAACCCAGGGTTTGTGATCATGGAGTTATCTCTTCCAGTTTTGGGAAAGGATCTTCCACATTCGGTGGGCTTGCCTCATGGCAATTCGCTATTGCAAACCCACGTGGTGGAAGGAGAGAACGGACATGCGTGTGGCTGGAATCATCTAGCTGACTTTCTCCTGTTCTGCTGCTTTGCCCTTCGGTTTCATTGTCCTCTTCAGATGTCCCAGCATTCCCTTTGTGGATGTCCAAAGTGTCTACTGTCTTTCTCTCTATACTGTAGAATCTGCCTTTTCTTACCCTTAACACTTCATTGGGTCTTACGGTGACAGCTTTTGATCCATCGTCTTACCCAAAACTACCTATGGGTAACTTCCAAGGAATTTTCAGTAACAAAACAATTTCTAGACATTTGCTTTCAGATGCTCTTTTTCAGTGATGGAGCTTTTTTGCCTTTGTGGTTGTATTAGGCAGGGTTCTCTAGAGAAACAGAACTGGTTGAAACACACACACACACACACACACACACACACACACACACACACACACACACACACACACACACTTTATCAGAATGGCTTACAGCCTATGATCTGACTATTTCAACAATGGCTGTCTCCCAACAGAAAGTCCAAGAATCTAGTAGTTGTTCAGTCCACAGCTGGATGTCTCGACTGGCCTTCAGTATATGCCAGAGTCCGAGAGAAGTAGGCTCTAATGCCAGTGAAGGAATGGACTTGCCAGGGAGAGCGAGGGCAAGCAGGCAAAGGGCAAGAGCTCCCTTCTTTCATGTCCTTTAGAGAGGTGGGTCTTCTCTTCTCCAATGATCCAATCAAGAAAAGTTCCTCGAAAGTTTCCCCAGCAGGTTGCTTGGGCTTTAGGTTTGTTCCAGATGTAATCAAGTTGACAACCAAGAACAGCCATCACAGAGGTTAAACCATCATCTACCGTGAAGCAAGAGACTGTGTGTTTGTCTTTTGGGCAACATTTGCTGGTTGGTATGGCACTGCCAGCTAAAGTGTCCTCACCGATGAGGTCAGGAGATTTGTGACCTTTGCTGTTTGGTCCTGTGTTTGTTTGTCGTAACTCTTTCCAACCACCTTGCTTTGGAGTAAGATGAAAATGAGCAGAAGGGCTTTGGAGGTCATTCCTTCTCCTTTCAACAGAATCTACGTAATGGGGTTCTGCTCTCGATGGCAACACACAGGACACAGTGACCTGGGGAAGTACCAAGGCCAGGCCGTCCTGTCTCCTTCCTGTGTAGTCAAGCTTCTCCAGAGAAGCAAACCCCAGAGGGGCATGTGTGAGAGAGCGGGGTGGGTGGTCATTGGTTCGTGAGGATGTTGTTCTGCAAGCCCAAATTCTGCAACGTAGGGCAAGATGGATCATCCAGGAGGAGTTCAGATAACTGTGTGGAGTTAAACGGCAGTCTAGAGATAGAATTGCTTCATCATTGGAAGGAACCCTGCCTGGTTCTTTTGTTGTCTCTCTCTTAAAGCTTTGAGTTTATTAGATGGGGCATACCTATGCTATGGGGTAACTGGCCATCAAACTCTCTCATTCCACTGGGCTCCCAGGAGGAGCAGGGACCCCTCCATTGCAGTTTGGAGTATTGTCCAGGCTGTCTATGAGCACTGCCTATGAGGCAAACCCAGGAAGGAGCACCTGGGTTAGTAGTTTGATGACACAGACCAGTAACTGGGAACATAATTCCCTTCTAAGCACTGGCTCTTGGCCCAAGACCATACTGATGACCTAGACACACGAGACCTCGCACAACTTGTGTCCTGGTAGATGAAGAGTTTCAAAGTCTACAGAACAAAATCAGCTATGTGCCACAGAAGGGGAAGTCACCAACGATGAAAGAGGGGAGCTTTGAGCCAGGCCTTTAGAACACACTCAACACTGGCAAATCCTGGGGTTTGCTTAAAGTGCAAATTGGAGACTTAATGGATCCTGTTGAGCTACTTCCTAGAAAATAATAGCAAAAAAAAATTCTTTTTGCAATCAATTCTTAGAATAATTGTTATGGTTTTCTCTTTTGTTCTAAGACAATCCCACGTCTTGATCTCCTCATATTTTACAAGTATTTTGTTTCTCTTTTTTGCTCAGTTTTTTTTTCTTTTAATGAGTGGTGTGTGTGTGTGTGTGTGTGTGTGTGTGTGTGTGTGTATACCATATGTGTTCCTAGTGCCAAAGGAAGCCAAAAGGGGGCATTAGACCCCCTGAAACTGGAATTACAGACAACTGCAAGTTGGTATGTGGGTTTTGGGAAGCAAACCTGGGCCCTCGGAAAGAGCAGCAAGCACTCTTAGCTGCTAAACCTGCTTTCCAATCCCAAGTACTTAATTTTGTTAAAAGCTACCAACAAGAATACTTGTATAAAATGCACAGTTATATGTGCTAAGTTTTAAAGTATCTAACAGAAGAATATAAAATTAAAAAGACCTAGAAGATAAGAATAAACCAACAATTACGGCCGGGCAGTGCAGTGGTGGTGCACACCTTTAATCCCAGCACTTGGGAGGCAGAGCCAGGCGGATCTCTGTGAGTTCGAGGGCAGCCTGGTTTACAGAGAGTACCAGGACAGGCTCTAAAACTACACAGAAAAACCCTGTCTCAAAAAACAAAACAAAACAAACAAACTATATATATAACAGTGGTATTGATTCTATATGCAGACTCTCCAAATTAACTGGAAACTTAATCAAAATAATTGGTAGTAGTTACTTTTTTGACACTTTGTAGTTTATTTTAATGTATATACATCATGATACACATTCACAAGATTTACAGCTTATGTCACACCAAACTGGGACATTGCACACACAGGTAACAGGTACTTTAATGATTCTTTTTCCCTCTCTTCCATTTTAAAGACACA